TCATGAACGCTGGTATGTTTCAGTCCATTGTTGCAGATGTTGTGTCAATCCCTCTCATTGAGGGTCTCCCTTGCTCTCACTCTTGACTTTACCAAACATGATGTTCTTTGCTAGAGATGATGTTTCCAAAGTAAGTCTCACTGTCTTCTCTTGTAAGAAGCATTCTGGTTGTATTTCTTCTAAGACTGATTTGTTCGTTCTTCTGGCAGTCCATGGTATATTCAGCATTCTTTGCCAACACCACAATTAGAAGGCATCAGTTCTTCTGTCTTCCTTTTTCATTGTCCAGCTTTTTGCAGGCATGAGGAGATTGAAGAGACTATGACTTGGGTGAGATGCACCTTAGTAATCAAAGTGACATCTTTGCTTTTTAAAACTTTGAAGAGATCTTCTGCCACACATTTGTCCAGTGCAATATGTCATTTGATCTCTTTACTGCAGCTACCATGGATGTTGATTGTTTGATCCACGTAGAATGAAATCATTGACAGCTTCAATTTCTTTTTCATTTATCATAATGTTGTTTATCAGCCCATTTGTGAGGATTTTCTTTTTCTTTTCACGTTCAAGTGTAAGCCACACCGCAGGCTGTAGTCTTGGACCTTCATCAATAAGTGCTTCAAGTCATCTTCATTTTCAGCAAGCAAGGCTGCATCGTCTGCATATTGTAGGTAGTTAATGAGTCTTCCTCCAATCCTAAAGCCACGTCCGTCCTCATACATTCTAGCTTTAAGGTGGTCAGCATTTAAGAGCCCAGGCTTTGGGGCAGGTGGTAGTCAAACCCCACCTCTTCTACCAAGGAACCCTCCCTCTTGCATCCTCCCCTTGGCCTGGCGAAGGATGGAGATGTCTTCCACCAAGCAGGGACTCAGTGTGGTGTATGGAAAGGGGTAGCTTTGGAGCAGACAGGCCTGGACTTGAATTTGGTCTGAGACCCTCACAGCTAGGTGGACTCAGGCAAGTTACTTAGCCTCTCTGAGTATCAGTGTATTAGTCAGTGATCCTTCAGTGGCAAAAGACAAAAACCCAACTTGAAGCAGCTTAAGCTAAAGAGGAAAATGTATTAGGTTTTGTCATCAAACTGCAGAATGGTCTGTACTGGACTAGGTTTTAAAATGAATGATTTGGGATCTTTTCTCTCTAACACTCATTTCTGCTTGTTTCTGCCTTAGATTGTTTCTTCTGCCACATAGGCTGACTTTGGTGCCAGTTGTGGCTGTTGATAGTTCTAGGCGTAAAGAATGCCAACGTCATAGCTCAGCAAAACAGATTTCTCTCTCTAAGCTTCAGTCTGTGCAAATCCAAGGAACGGGTCATGTGCCCTTCCCTGGATCGGTCACTGTCGCTGGTGGGGCAGATGATATGATTGGCTCCACCAAGGTCAGTATCTCCCATGTGGTTAGGCAGTAAGCTCTGTTTTCAGAAAAATAGGAAGAGGGGGTGCTTTTAAGATACAAACAGTACCCATTACAGTCCACCCCTTCACCTGGCTGTTACATCTGTCTGCCTTGGAAGTGAATCTTATTTTTGGCATATGGTAACTACTCAGGTTAATTCACATGTTAGTTCACAGTGAACGTGCATATGTGCACGCACATACACTCTCATTCCCGTGCATTTCATTCTAAAAATCTTCTCAATCTAACATAATCTCCTGTCCCACATGTAGCCAAAATGCACCTTCCCTCACCCCAAGGTGAAACCACCCAAAGTCATACTTCATCCAACTCCAAGCCTAACACGTCTAGGGCCTTAGTGTTCCTCCCCAAGCAGGTCTCAGTGTGGCTCTGAGGCTCTGTGATCCTGAGGCCTCTGGCCAAAAGGAAGTGAAACCTACCCAAGAAACCCTGTGCACAATGGTGGAAAGGGTAGATCTGGACTTCCATTTTAAGTGAGGTCCAAGATGTAGGAACTTGGGCAGATTACTTAGCTTCTAGTCCCTGGATGGTGCAAATGGTTAACACACTTGGCTGCTAACTGAAAGGTTAGAGGTTTGAATCCACCCAGAAGTGCCTCAGAAGAAAGGCCTGGAGATCCACTTCCAAAAACTCAGTCATTGAAAACCCTGTGGAGTGCAGTTCTACTCTGAGACACATGGGGTCACCATGAGTCAGAACTGACTTGATGGACACTGTTTTTTTTCTTTTTTAATTTCATTTAGAAAAGAGGAAATATAGAATTAACCTGAGTAGTTACCAGCCAGAACATATACCATAATGCCAAAACTAAGATTTAATTCCAAGGCCCGTTGGAAAAAAAAAGCTGCCGTCGAGTCAATTCTGACTCATGGCAATCCTACAGGACAGACAAGAACTGCCCCTTAGGGTTTCCAAGGAGCAGCTGGTGAATTCAAACTGCTGACCTTTTGGTTAGCAGCCGAGCTCTTAACCACTGCACCACCACACATAATTGTCACTGCATTTGGTTTCCTTGTCTATAAAATGGGTTAATAAGAAAGTTGTGAGGATTGAATAAAAAAAAAAAAATGTAGCAAGGCCCATAGGAAAGTGGTTGCCACATAGGAGTGCTCAATACATGGTAGTTTTGTTCTCTCTACCTCTGCTCCCTGCCACACACACACACACACACACACACCCTATATCTGTTGATCTAATGGCAAAGACCTCATCCTGCCAAAATAAACCAACATTCTCTCTCCCTCCGTCTTTCCCTCCCTCCTTTCTATTCTTCGTTCTCTGCCTCCCTCCTATAACCTCTTCTTTTTTTCGTCCCCTGCACCTCCTACAATCCATCGTGGACACTGTCTGCTGGTGAGCTAAAGATCATGTGAAACCCTCACCAATGTGGCCCATGAGATTTCTCTCTCTCGCTCAGATGTGAGCACCTCCCTGTCCCAGACCACAGGGCTGCGATTCCCTCTGCAATAAGTCGAGCAAACGTCTGTGAACAAGCTCAGTGACAAGGCATGGTCTTCTCCAGAGCTGTCACCTGCTGATGTGCCTGCTCCAGGGCAGGTGATGCTTCTTGGATGGACTATTCTTAGTCAAAGGAGCCCTGGTGGTTTAGTGGTTAAGTGCTTGGCTGCCAACCAGAAGGTTGCCAGTTCAAACCCACCAGCCGCTCTGTGGGAGAAAGATGTAGCAGTCTGCTTCCATAAAGATTACAGCCTTGGAAACCCTGTGGGGCAGTTTTACTTTGTCCTATAGGGTCGCTATGAGTTGAGATCAACTTGATGGCAATGGGCTTGGTTTTGGTTCTTTGGATTCTTAATCAACTATATCACCACTGTCTTATGAAAGAAATCCTAAGTGATCAGGGTTGAGGCACGTCTGTAGCGGGGCTGGGAAGTACTGCACTAACAGGGTGGCATTGAAAGGGCACAGCTACTCGGCAACAAGCCTGCATCCTCTGCTGGACCCTGCTCTCCACCAGGAGTGAGGGGAGCCAAGAAGCCCACAGTTCAAACCAAACAGCAGCCTAGCCAGGGAAAGTGATCGAATGTCATTTAGTATTTCCCTGTAATCATTCCCTAGGGGCCATTTAATTCTGAGGGCTGGCTGGATCCCTCGGCCAACCTCCAGTTGCTTCCAGGAGGAATAGTAGAAAGCACTGGTTTGGAGTCCCATAGAACTGAGTTTAAATCTTTATCCTGCCACCGATTAGCTGTGCATCTTGGGAGAACCACGTTCCCTCTCTGGGACTCTGTTCACTCATCTAAGGAAAGAGCATGAGATGCCGCTGCTTCCCACTTGACATGGGGCATTGCAAAGATCTTCTGGTTGAAGCAGAAGCAAGCAGTGGTTCAGAACATGGGCTCTGGAGCTAGATTACCTAGGGCCAATCCTGGCTCCACCCCTTCCAGCTGCATTACCTTGGGCAAGTGACTTAGCTGCTCTGCGCCTCAGTTTTCTCATTTTAGGGATTCAGTAAGACAATATGTGCAAAGCACTTAGGAAAGTAGCTGGCTAATAGTAATAATATTTTAAAGAACATATAGAAAAGGACTTTATAAACTGTAAAGTCCTAATCCTTGTGTGATTTACTATTTACCATGAAGTGCAGGAACATGTTGCCTAAGAAAACTAAGTGTGTGGTTTATAAGTGGAGGGTTGTTTTATATAATTAAAAAAAAAAAATTTAGGGGGTGGAAGCATTCACTTTGGCTCACAATATGGGCAAACTGTAAAGTGCGGTACACACTACTGTGAATGGTCAGTTTCTTATTCCACTTACTTAAATTTCATGCCTATTATAAGGAAGACATTAGAGCCCTGGTGGCGCAGTGCTTAAGAGGTATGACTGCTAACCAAAAGGTCAGCAGCTTGAATCCACCAGCCGCTCCTTGGAAACCCCATGGGGCATTCCTACTCCATCCTATAGGGTTGCTATGAGTCAGAATAGACTTGATGGCAACAATTTTTTAGTTTTATGATAGAAACATTACTTATGCCCTTCCATTTTAACCATTCATCCCCACTCTACAGACTCCGACTCAGAGAGATCAACTGGCCTGAAGTCCCTAGGCTAGTGCTAGGAAGTGGCAGAAGGACCTAGACCTTGAGATATCCAAGTCTAGTGTACTTCTAAGAAAAAAGAAGTATCTTAAGGCACCTTATAGAAATGGTAACATGCTGTCAAACTCCAGGCACGTCAGAGCTGTCTTAATATGGCACGCATCCTAGGAGAGACAGGAAGTTCTGCTTGGTGCTTAGGGAATAACTTTGGCTTGGGTTTCTGGGTGCCTACGTGGCACTGGTATAGCCCAGAGGCTGGCTGTAGCCCTGGCCACAGAAGGGCCCCTTCCTCCTCTCTGTTGGCCTCCAGGGCCCACAGCCCTACCCATTGGACTCCATTGCCCTTATTGGACGAGGTTCTGCCAAGGTACATGAATTTCAGTCTCTCTTGTTTCTGGTTTTCTGTTCAGAGGAAGGAATTGGTACCAAAAGGTCAACAAGGCCACAGAGCCTTGGGGAAGCTTCCTCCTGTCACCCTTTCAGCTCTGCCCCCAGCCTCATCTGACTTTTGTCCTCTCCCCAAAGCCAAGTACATCGGCTGCTATCTGGACGACACCCAGAGTCGGGCTCTGCGAGGCATGTCCTTTTTCGACTACAAAAAGATGACTGTCTTCCGTTGCCAGGACAACTGTGCGGAACGGTAGGGCCCCATCGTCCCAGGCTCCGTTCATCTCAGACCCTTCCTTCTCAGGTTCCTGCCTGTGATGGCCTTTCCTTTTCCATTGAAGAGTGTGTTGGAGCGTGAGCACATGGCCACTAGGAAAGGGTGATGTAAGGACATGTGTGTGTGTGTGTGCGCGCGTGCAAGTAGACGTGCAAACGAGCAGTTGGGAATTGGTCTGTGGAAGTTTGTGATTGTGCAATTGTGTGAGATTGTGCCCGGGAGTGAGTGTGTAGTTATGTGAGTGTTGCCAGGGCTGGGTATGTTTGTGAGCTTAAGGCCAACACATAATTATCTTTAAATAATCGTATCTGAGTGCCCAAGTCTTTGTGAATATGTGTGCAAGGGCTCAGAATTGTGTTTGTGTGTGCAGGTGTCTGTGATTGCATTGCTGAATGTGCAAGATTGTGTTGAAGTTTTGAAGAAGTGGAAACAACTTGGAAGTGCACAATTAAGTGTGTATGTGTGTGCAGATGTGAGTGCGTAAGCATGAGGTGTGTGGAGCATCTGTGTGAAGGGTAAGGCAGGGGCTTGCATATCAAGGGCATTGATTAGTTTTTCTCCCAGGGAGAAAGACTCACCTGTCTAGACCGTGTTTCCCAGTGTAAGGCCAAGATGATGTTCTTCACTGGAACATGCACCAGGAGAAAGAGGATCAGGGAGGAAGTTGACTTTCCAAGAGTGACAAGGCCCCAAAAGACTGATGAGCATGGGCAGGACCCTCAGGCCATGCCTGGGGAGTAGTGAGGCCAGGATTGCTGCCCCAGGGGCACCGGGGTCTGAGCTGCCCTTCTCTCCCTTTATCTCATGGGTTCCTTCCTTCCCCTGGGTCCCTTGATCTTGTGGTAGCTTGTGAAGAGGCTTCAAACTCCCAGCCAGTCAACTCTGAAGGTCTTAAGATCTTCCCACCTCAAGTGCATCTTCCAAAATGGCTCACTCACATGGCTGTTGGCTGGAGACTTCAGTTCCTCACCACCTGGACCTCTCCATGAGGCTGCTTGAGTATCCTCACAATATGGCAGCTGGCTTCCCCCAGAGCGAGTGATCTCAGAGGGAGAGTCATGAGGAAGCCACAATGCCTGTGAGACCTAGATTTGGAAGTCACATACCGTCTCTTCCACCATATTCTATGCACTGGAAGTGAGTCACTCAGTCCTGCCCACACTCAAAAGAAGATGAATTAAGCTCTACCTCTTGAAGGAAGGCGTATCAAAGATCTTGTGGACATGTTTTTAAACTATACCTCCTAGCCTGTGGGGTCCCTTGGCATAATTGTTCTTTCCGTGGCCTAGAAGCCATTGGACTCTATTCTGGATGGATCTCCACCTCAGACTTCATTCTTTCTACTTCTTGCCTTAAAACTGATAACACTCACTGGGCCCTTTTCTTGTGAAGTTTTGCTTCTATCTGTGGGTCCCATTATAGGAGGGCCCCCAGGAACACTGGAGAAGCAGGGCTTGAGAGAGACGGACAGACAGAAGGAAGCCTGCTTCAGCCCCGAGATTTCGGGTTCAGACACCAAGATGCCCCATTAGTTTAAGCTGCACTTGCCTCGTCTTCCCCAGGTGAGCATATGGACTGGACAAAGCCAGGTGCTGTTCCAGTAGCCAGGTATGGAGGATGGGTCCCAGTGGGCCTGTCTGCAGCCATCACCACGCAGTCCGGAGTGAAGCAGTGACTGACTGTTCCCACTGGTGCTGCCTCGCAAGACCAGCAGCCTCCGGGCTGCTCCCTGAGGAGCCCTTGGGGTTCTGTGGAGAATTCCTCAGAGCCCACCATGGGTGAGGGCCGAGAGAGGTTGTTCTTCCTTCCCTCCCCTCTTCCCTCAGAACAAGCAGTGCCTTTCTGTCTGTTTACAGAGCGGGTCTCCAAAGTCCTTTTTAGGGAAGGATTCCATGGGAAAAATAAAAGAAGTTGAAGACCCTGCAGTGCCTGGGTAATTTAGGCGGCAGAGTGGATTGATTTTTTCTTAGGGGGAAGAGTTTTTTACTTGATTGGGTATATGACCTTGGTTTTGCCATCTTCCAAAAGGACATGTGAGTCCCCAACTCCCCCCTGAGCTCCCCATCTCTCCTTCCCTCTCCCCAGATCCTCTCAAGGGATGTGGAAGTGTCTTCCTGGGATAAAGGAAGGGACTCGACTCTGGAGCTAGGACTCTCTCGCGTCTCCAGTGTCTCCAGCCAGGGCGGAGCAAGAGTGGGGTGGGGCGGGCCCAGAGGATCCGGGGCATGTGTGTGCGTGTGTGCGTGTGCGCATGTGTGTAAACAAGTGTACCATGTGACTGGAGGTGCGTACAGGTGGGTGTGAGTGTAGACATGGAGTCTATGTGAGTAGGTGTGTAGGGGGTGTAAGACATCAGGTGAGGGTGAAGGCATGTGGGTGGGCTCACCTGAATACTGCTCTTCCCCCTGGGGTATTGTCCCTTCTCTGGGTCTCCCTCTTCCCCCAGGGGCCTCCCCATAAGCCACCTTGGCCTTCCTGTGCACCAGCATACTTCCTCACCCCTCATCCTTGCTGACCCCTCTTGGGATCTCCTTACCCCAGCCCAGGATCCTCATCCCTCGGAGCATCCTTGTTCCCTGGATCTCCTTGGGTTTCCCTGCCTCTGAGGGCTTCCTCTGTTCCCCTCAGAGTCTCCCGTATCCCGCTTCCAGGGTTTTCTGCCTCTCCCTTGTGCCTCCATTGCCCCTGGGGTCTCCCTGTCCCCTAGAAGTCCCCTTCTACAAGGTCTCCAGGTTGGGTGGGTCTCCTGTCCCCTGGGATCTCCCTGTCTCCCCCATCTCCCACCACTTCTCTGATGTCTCCCCACTGCCCCTGGGATCTCCTTGTCTCCTGGAGTCCTCCCATCCCCCAGGTCTCAACAGGGGGTGAGTCTTCCTGCCCCAAGGTCCCCGTGTGGGCAGCTGGCTGGCCTGACAGCAGCCTCACGCAGGGGCTACCTGTATGCCGGGCTGGAGTTCGGCGCTGAGTGCTACTGCGGCCACAAGATCCAGGCAACCAACGTTAGCGAGGCCGAGTGCGACATGGAGTGCAAGGGGGAGCGGAGCAATGTGTGCGGCGGCGCCAACCGCCTCTCCATCTACCGACTGCAGCTGGCCCAGGAGTCGGCCCGCAGGTGTACGTGAGTTGGCTGCCACCCCCGTCGCTCTTCCTAGGACCCTTGCCCCCTAGTGTGGGTATCTCACCCTTCAGCACATCCCTGCATGTCTGCCTAGCGCCTTCCATGGCTCCCCAGCACCCTAACCCCTTGACCTGCCCTTCAGGGCCACCACAATCCTGTCCCACTCTCGCCTCCCATCCCTGCTTCAGCTAGTTTGAACATTTACACGATCTTCTTCTCTCCCTCCCCTCCTCAACCAGCTGCACCCCTTCCTTCTCATCTACCTCCCTGCTTCCCAAACTGAGCTGGAGCCTGAGCTTGGCCTGTGCTTCCTGGTTTTCTGAGAGCAGATTGCTTCTAGTGATGATGATGATGATGACAACCACAGCACACAGTCCTTTTCTAAATGCCTTCTATGGATTGGCACATCTAATCCTCACGATGACCCTTGAAATAGGCAGTATTATTTACCTGTGAGCAGGAATCCTGGTGGCGTAATGAATGGTTAAGCACTTGGCTGCTAACTGAAAGCTTGTCAGTTTGAACCCACCTAGCGGCCCTGCGGGAGACAGACCTGGCAATCTGCTCCCATAAAGATGACAGCCTAGGAAACCCTATGGGGCAGTTCTCCTCTGTCACATGGGGTCACTATGAGTCAGAATTGACTCAGCGGCACCCAACAACAACATTTACCTATGCCCATTTGACAGATGAGGGGAACTATGTCACATAGCTTGTAAGCAGCAGAGCCAGGATTTGAACCGACTCCAGAGCCTGCGTCTTTAAGGCTCCCATAGAGAGAATTCATCCCTCATGTGTCAGTGCTCTGGTTTGAGTCTTGCTGGAAAAGCTGTCCGGTTTCCAAACTGAGGGAGGCAGAGCGGTGAACAAATAGGAGAGGAGAAGAGAATGAGAGCTGGGCCTTCTTCTGTGGGCAGTGTTCCGTTCCTGGGGCAGGGGATAATAATGGTTAATAACGGTTTATCACGGCCTATCGTATACCAGGCACTGTGCTAAGCCCCTTGTACACCTGATTTCATTTACCTATTTACCTTCTCTATAGCCTTTTCAGGTAAGTACCATTGTTAACAGGAGTCCCTTGGTGGCACAGATGGTGAAATGCTGGACTACAAACCTAAAGGTTGGAGGTTCAAACCCACTTAGAGGCACCTGGGAAGACAGGCCTGGCGATCTGCTTCTGAAAGGTCACAGCCTTGGAGACCCTATGGAGCAGTTCTACTCTGCACACAGGGGGTCGTCATGAGTCATAATCCACTTGATGGCAACTAACAACTAATCATTGTTAATGATCCTCATTTTTCAGTGAGGAAACGGAGTCTTAAAGAATTTAAGCAAACTTGCCCAAGGTCACACAGGTGACCTTCAGACCTTAAAAGAAAAAAAAAAGAGCAAGTAAGCTTGCCAAAAGATAGAGGGGCTTTCTCATGGTGGTCCACCTGATACAGTCCTGGACAGGGACGGGAATCCACAACAACACCTCTCACCCTGTGGCCAGCGCTTCCCACATTAGAGTGTGCTTGCAAATCCCCTGGGGATCTTGTTAAAATGCAGATTCTGGTCCAGTAGCTATGGGGTGTCATTCCGCATTTCTAAGGAGCTAGTAGGTGATGTGACCTGCTGGTCCATAGACTACACTTTGAATAATCAGGCCTCAGACCTCAGTGGAAGGGGCCCTGGTGGTGCAAAGGTTAAGTGTTCGACTGTTAACCAAAATGGTGGTGCTTTGACCCACCAGAGGCACTGCGGGAGAAAGACCTGGCCATCTGTTTCTGTAAAGATTCCAGAAACCAAACCGATTGCCATCGAGTCTATTCCAACTGATAGCAACCCTATAGGACAGAGTAGAACTGCCCCATAGAGTTTCCAAGACTGTAAATCTTTACTGAAGCAGACTGCCACATCGTTCTCCCACAGAGTGGCTGGTAGGCTTGAACAGCCAACCTATTGGTTGGCAGTTGAGCAGTTACCACTGCACCACCAGGGCTCCTTCTGTAAAGATTACAGCCTAGAAAACCATATGGGGCAGTTCTCCTCTGTCACATGGGGTCACTATGAGTCGGAATCAACTCAATGGCACCCAACAACAACAACAACAGACTTCCATGGAGGCTGCCACTGCCCTCCCAGATTGTAGACCCGCCCCCACAGGTGGGTTAGACCAGAAGGTATCACCTGCCTGCATGCAGAGAAAGGCCTCTCCCCTGTGAGTTTTATTGTATATAAAGATTCCCTGTTGATTTGCCTGTTGATGTGTTCAGTTTATTGAATCCGGTATTTCTGAAGCACCATTCAAGCTCCACTCTGCAGTAGGGTTGAGCGGTGCTGCCAGTTTGCAGACAGGCTGGTTTCTACAAACGGACTCTATCATCTACCACCCCACGGTCGACTCAGTTCCCCCTGCTCTGAAGGCTGGTGGGGGGCAGAGGTGGTGGGTGGAAGACAGACTAGGGAAGCTGCATGTACCAGGCTTCTGGTTTGGCCATAAGTGTAATGCATTTTTAATTTGGTGCCAGATTTATCATCCTCACTACCGATACCCTTATGCCAATATTCACGTTATTCTGATGGTGACATTTGGGCTATCTGAAGAGATGGCCTTAAAGTCAGAAGGGAAAGTGCTGGTAGTGAAACATCATAGTGGATGAGGCTGAGACAGGTAATAGGAATTGGGTTGTGGATGCCATTAGCTGGATATTAGCCAGACCTTTTGTCTTTTGGATAACGTTCCAATTGACTGGATAAATAATCTGGATATTCTCTCCCATTCTCTCTCTCTCACACAGTATTGTGATCACCTGTTGTAATAACACTCACTCATGGACCATCAAAGCTTTTTCAATCAGCTGAAATAAGAGCCTCCACACACACAGCAGCTCCCTAGGTTCTGTTATAGTCAGGTGTGTTCTGCCTTGTGGGAGGGCTGGGAGAATGGTGTTGTGGGAGAGAAGCCCCAGAGACTGGCCGGAATGCTACCACGCCCTCATCTTAACAGCCTCTACAGTGGCGCAATTATCCTGGGTAGTGTTTTGCTCCATCTGAGAAAGGATCTTTGTGTTTATGTAGAAGGGGAAAAAAAAAAGCGTCGCCATCAAGTCAATTCCGACTCATGGCAACCCCATGTGTACAAGAGGGGAAACATTCATTTCTACTAAGTGGAGTTATGGATTCTCTAAGTCCACCACCATTGTTCTGAAAGGCAGTGGGCATGATCGTGTCCTGTGCAAGGTCTGAAGCTTGAGCACCTTCAGCTACAGGCTCCAGAAGAAAATCTAGGCCCTATTAACCTCGAGGCTGCTGTGGTTGGGATGAAAATGGAGGTGACTTGGATAAAGAGACAGATGGTTGGCAGCATGTCAAGTTGGAACTCCTGGTGAGCTCCCAGTTGGCAATGTGGTGTATAGAGAGAGCACCAGGACCATCCAGTCTACCCACAGTCACTCAGTGAGCTCCCCAGTGGACTGGACACAAGGGATCCGGGGAATAAAGCCCAGTCCCTTCCCTCAGTACATCAACAGAACTGCCAGAAATTCAAGCTGGATTCAGAAGAGGACACGGAACAAGGGATATCACTTCTGATGTCAGATGGATCTTGGCTGAAAGCAGAGAATACCAGAAAGATGTTTACCTGTGTTTTACTGACTGTGCAAAAACTGACTCTTCGACTAAGTGGATAATGACAAATTACGGATAACATTGTGAAGAATGGGAGTTCCGGAACACTTAATTGTGCTCATGAGGAACCTGTACTTAGACCAAGAGGCAGTCATTTGAACAGAATAAGGGGATACTGCGTGGTTTAAAATCAGGAAAGGTGTGCATCAGGGTTGTATCCTTTAACCATATTTATTCAATATGTATGCTGAGCAAATAATCCAAGAAGCTGGACTATGTGAAGAAAAACATGGTATCAGAATTGGAGGAAGACTCATTAACAAGCTGCAGTATGCAGATGACACAACCTTGCTTGCTGAAATCAAAGAGGACTTGAAGCACTTACTGATGAAGATCAAAGACCGCAGTCTTCAGTATGGATTACACCTCAACACAAAGAAAACAAAAATCCTCACAACTGGACCAATAAGCAACATCATGATAAATGGAGAAAAGATGAAGTTGTCAAGGATTTCATCTTACTCAGATCCACAATCAAAGCAACAGTCAAGAAATCGAACGACGGATTGCGTTAGACAAATCTGCTTAAAGTGTTGAAAAACAAAGATGTCATTTTGAGGACTAAGATGTGCCTGACCCAAGCCATAGTATTTTCAGTCACCTCATATGCATACAAAAGCTTGTCAATTAATAAGGAAGACCGAAGAAGAATCAATGGCTTTGAATTATGGTGTTGGCGAAGAATATTGAATATATACCACGGACTGCCAGAAGAACGAATAAGTCTGTCATTGAACAAGTACAGCCAGCATCCTCCTTGGAAGCGAGGATGGTGAGACTTCTTACGTACTTTGGACATGTTATTAGGAGGGACTAGTCCCTGGAGAAGGACATCATCCTTGGTAAGTAGAGGGTGAGTGAAAAACAGGAAGACCCTCAATGAGATGGATTGACACAGTGGTTGCAACAATGGGCTCACGCATAGCAACGACTGTGAGGATGGCACAGGACCGAGCAGTGTTTCATTCTGTTGTACATAGGATCGCTATGAGTCAGAACCGTCTCGACGACACCTAACAACAACCCTCCCCTCAAGGAGCTCAGCGTCTAGTGGGGAGAAAGACCCAAGATCAGTGGGATCAGTTCAAGCATGGAGATATGTAACAAGGACCCCCACAGGAGCCAAGAGAGCAGCATTTAAGCTGAATCTCATTCTAAGGAGATTTCCAGGTAAAAAAGCAGAGCCATGCATTCCAGTCATGAGCAAAAGTCCAGAGTCAGCAGAGACCATGAGTTGAATGACATGTGGGAAGCCCCACTGGAGACCTTCCCCACCTATGTCTCCACTCTACACGTGTAGACACTGAGGCCCAGAGAGCAGAAG